TTTCGCATGTCCAATTAATAACTGACATCCTACTGCGGGCACGTCGGCCGATACAAAAACTTCTAAGAAGGCTGCTCTTGTGTATCCTTGCTCATTGCTCCTCAGAGATCCTTCCTTATTCCCAGATCCTCGCTCCCTACAGAAGAAATAAAACCTTTGTAACGGCCTTCAAGATGCCGCACTGTAATGTGCGAGGATCAATGAGCGAGGAAATGTCAAATAAGAGACGTGGGATGCAGCCGCAAACTCCATCTAAAGTCTCTACAGCTGTAAAAGCTGACCACCAGCTGATCCAGCTGTGATCAGCTGCCGGCATCATCACAAACGGACGTGCTTCAGACTAAACGTCTCATTTCTCAGAAAACATATTCCCTCGTTTCCTCTCTTTTGCATGCTTTCCATACGTCTTTCAATGCACCCCCAGTGGGAGGGATGAAGATGTAAGTCAGAGAAACATGGTGGGAGGGTGGATTGATGGTTACCCACCCATAAACATTAGTAAGCCTCTGCTCTGTGGACCCCTCTATTCTATAAGCACATTGCTAAGAACTCCCTGTGATAGATGTCGGTGTTGCTATAGCAACAGTGTCAAATTTTAGAATAAATTATTTCACCAGGATTTCTTGGCCTGACACAAGCATAAGTAAAAATAGGCCTGTACCATGTCTATTTCTGACCATACTGACCATGTGATACGCTTTGGTGCCCGAGCGAATGAGGGAATCCTTTTGACAACAAACAGCTCTGCAGTATTATTAGATGATTTAATCTTATCGCTGGTTTGTCTTTCTCTTGTTGGTACAGTGAGCCACTACAAATGCCCGCTGTGTGACATGACTTGTCCGTCACCCTCCTCGCTGCGCAACCATGTGAAGTTCCGCCACAGTAACGAGAAGCCGTACAGCTGTGAATACTGCGAGTACAGGTTTCTATCCTCTGACCCTGCAGCAGTGCAAAACAAGATTAAACTGTTATAAACACACTTGAATTATTCGTAACACTCCTTCACATGATTTTGTATTTGCAGCTGTAAGAATCTGGTAGATTTGCGCAAACACCTGGATACACACAGCAGCGAGCCAGCGTTTCACTGCGACGTTCCTGGCTGTGGCTTCACCGCTCGAACTCTCATCACCATGAAGATTCACCACAAAAGAGAGCATGAGGTGAAGGGGTGAATCTTTCAAATGATTGTTTTTACGCTCATGTAGGGAGTTGTAATGTTACTAACGGTTCTCTAATGTTTCCTCTCCATCATCAGGGGAAGTTTGTAGCTCGCTACAAGTGCCACGTGTGTGATCAGTGCTTCACCCGTGGCAACAACCTAACTGTTCATCTGCACAAGAAGCACCAATTCAAATGGCCCTCTGGACACCCCAGGTTCAGGTAAACCTTCCACTGACAAATCAATCAACCCAGTAATGTTGAATTTGAGATGTGCGGGGCGTTGCAGCACTGATGGCCTCATCATCATTCTGTCAGGTACAAGGAGCACGAGGACGGCTTCTTGCGGCTGCAGCTGATTCGCTACGAGAGTGTGGAACTGACAGAGCAGCTAATGAGGGAAAGACAAAGCAGGCAAGCGGATGAGGATGAGGACAGTGGCCAGACTGAGGAAGAATCCCTGGGGGCAGCTCCCTCAGAGCTGCAGGTAGAACTAAGAGGGGTGCTGCTGGAGGAGCACAGGACTGAGGAGCCAACAGCCAGCGCCGAGGAGGGCGGTCAGGAAGAGGGCATGCTGTATGTTCTCGCTGGAGGTTTGTCACAAACAGGGGAGGACCAGGTCATGCAGCAACTCTAGGATACTCATCAGCAGCGAGGAATGTAGGTAGTTTGACTGCCATGTATACATCATATACAGAACAGGACATAATGTAGTCAGCTGTGTTGTTTCACAGATACATGACATATGTCTGAAAATGCAAAACTTCTGAGCCTTTAATCTGGAGGCACTTAATAATGATAAATCAAAACATCTAAATGAAGGGATGTGTACTCCATGATAACTCATCTTGATCACAAGCTTATGTTAGGTAATGCTAATAACTGTTTGCTAATGTTGAGCACGTGGACAAACTGTTTCCCAGTATTTAATTATTTACATTCCACTCATTATACCTCGTACTGTAACGCCTTTAGACAGATGGATACTAATGCTACACTGCCTAGTGGGTTATCATCCTCTTTTTAATGTGAAGGCTGTTTCAAATTCAGAGGCACATCAGCCACATATTTTTGAAGGTTAAGGGATTGAGTCACAAGAATGGTGTGTTTTTTATTTATTTGGATAAATAAACTTTAAAAATCATGTTTAAAATAACTTGTTTTGTCTTATTTGGGTGTAACGGTCAGGGTTCTCACTCTTCTTCATGAACACAATTTTACAAGGACCCCTAGTAAACTTCCACAGACACAAACAGAACTGTAGGAAAACGTAGTTTAAATGTTTATTATTATCATCCAAAAAAAAAAAACCTGTACAACCACAAATATCAGTCAGGCGCTGGCTTTCAAGCACAAGGGGCCTGAGGGGGATTCTACTATGAGTCTGCTCTTAATGCATTTGATTCTAAACTTAATTTTGGATGCAAGTCTGAAAAACAGTGCGGCAACTGAAGTATGTAGGTATATTCTTTTTACGCCTTTCAGCACCACCCATTAATATAGCCTACTTTAATACAAGTCTTTCAATTCAATCTATCAGTAGCCTTCTTAGCACAATAGCCTCCAACACAATGCTGACTACTGCTGAAGTTGAGTAATTAGCTGATACTGTTGAAATTTGTTTCTGTGAAATGTCTCTGTGCAAATTAACATAGTACTGGCTTAAAATGTGGGTGACAGTTGTTGAAGAAGGACTCTATGACTCGGGGTTGATCTGCAGCCTTGCGGGATATTTATTGAAGACACAATATACAGCTTCAAATACAGCAACAATGAGACAGCCCCATAGAGCAGCTCACTAAACATTCTTATACTCCATGTGTGTGTATATGTGTGCGTATGTGTGTGGGTGTGATTTCCTTCCGTTTCCAGAACTTGCGCTTATTTTATCTCAATACTTGCCGTTTTACCACAACTTGTTCCTGCCAACGATATCTGTTTCCCATCACAATGTTTCACCATCACAATGTTTTCCAGGTCATCCTGTTCTAAGACTTCCCCCTAGACTATTCAGGGTTGCTCAGTTTTAGTAAACATGTTTTGCTTCTAACTTGAATTTTAAGGGTCAAGTATTTCTAGGCCTTTTCGCCACCACACAGTTAGTCACCACTCTAAGTGCACTCAAGTTTTGTTTAAAGCTTTTTGTTATCCAGCGCGTTCACAGAGCACTCCTGACACTGTCGATCTGCGAACACGGAGCAGTAGAGCTCCCAGAGTGGGGGAGTGACAATCAACAGTTGGTTAATATGTTCAACAAGAAGCATGCCCCGTACTTTCTGACGACCATGCTCTACTTTCAGAGCAGTTAGAACAAAACCAAAGTGTGCATTGGCGCTCTGAATGACAACTGAACATCCTGGGCTCCTTATGTCAGTTGCTCCATGTCAGTATTGCAGTGGCTTACAATTTAAAAGTTGTAGCGAGGCACATGTTTGAAACGTGTTAAATCACACTGTCACAGGGCGCCCACTGGCTCATCTGTTAGAGCAGGCGCCCCATTTACAAAGGCTGTGTTCGTACCGCAGTGACTGCAGGTTAGATTCCGATCCATGGCCCTGTGCTGCATGTCATCCCCCCCTTTTCTCCAACTTCCACACTATAGCGGTTCTATCAAATTAAGGCAAAAAAAAGCCCCCCAAAATGTATTTGAAAACATTCACACTGTCACAACATTATTTTTCTTGCCCCACTTGAAAGGATTTTATTATAAACAAAGAAATTCCATGACTTTTCCTAAACTTTAAGTGACTTTCACTAATTCCATGACTTATCCAGGCCTGGAAAATAACACAAGATAAGTGCTAAGATAAAACTTTATTGATCCCACACCGGGGAAATTCACATTACAGCAGCTCAAATAGTACAGATAGAAGAGCAAGTTGAACGGCAATAGAATACTTAGAGAATAAAGATAAAATACAGAAAGATATATACACTATATTCACCTTTCACTTATGCACATATGAAATGTATATATGAATATATGTATGGGTATATATTGACAGCATTGCAAAGACAGATACCATAGAGATACCTACTGCAAAGAATATTAGTAGCAGATATTCTGCAGTGAGGATTACATTGTGGAATAAATAAATGAATATGAGATTGTAAAATTCCATAACCCTGGGAGCCCTGCATGGTGCACAAAATTCTGTTCCATTATTGTCAACAAGCCATTGAAAGAGAATTGTTTTTATTTATTTTTAATATGACTCACAGGTCACTACATCGATAGTATCCACCATCTGTACTTCCATTCTGGCACCCCCCGCTGAATCTAACTGCTCTACTGCAGCTCTGTTTTATGATTAAATCGGGCTCTGCCAGACTGGACATTTTATTGATCTAGATGTATTGACTGAGCTCTTGGACAAACAGATATTAGGTGACTGTAAACTGAAATGTTGTTGCTGTAGTATTATCGACTATAAACGTTCATATACTTCTTACGCATGAGATCTGAAATGTTTGTACTCATATGGCAGAACTGTCTGGGTAGACTATGTGAAGGCACACTTCTACTGTACTCCATGAGATAATGTCCTATGATTTTAAGCTCCAAGAATATGTACATACTGCATATTTTTTGACTCTACTACTCAAAAGTACGGCAATATGAGTGCATTTAAACAACCAAATTACTGCTTTTCATTAATCTATCCCTCACATTTCAATCTCCTTTTCCTTGTTTTGCTTTGATCTTAAGAAAAGCTCAGGTGATCAGGTGACTTGCATCATGACAAACCTGCAGCAGTGAGTCTTGTCTCATCATGACATACAGTGCGTAGTGGCATTAGCCGTGTGTAGAAGATTAGGCAGCACCTAGAGCTTAGTTTAAGTGTTACTTACCGGCCGCTCTCTGCTTCCTCACTCTGCAGTCAGTGAACTCAGCTCCACTGGGACAGCTCTTAATGGCCTCATGTCTGTTGAGGATGTATAGGATGTTGCTGGACAATAATATGGCTCAGTTCGCAGTTTTCCACAGAAACTGATTGCATCCAAAGAGAGGCACCATGAGGTTGTATCCGCTGCTGCTGCTGTTGTTCGGGTCCTTCCAAAGAGCCTATTCTCAGTTGCCTGGATGGATTGGTGAGGTGGAAGGTAGTGGTAAGACCTCCTACAATACCAGTGCAATCTTCAAGACAGGAGATAACACAGTATCATCTTTCCTATTGTTGGCCTTGAAGCCTGAAAATATTTCCAGTTTGCATGCAGAACCTTTATGATCTTATCTATTATGTGAATGTTTGCCCAGTTGATGTGTATGAAAATAAGCTAATAAAACTTCTGCCGTAGGTGAGACAGAATGGTTCCCCGAACCAGATTTCATAGACGACATATATTGGACCGGGTCAGCGCCGGTGTGTTTTGGAGGCTGTAGGGCGCGACACCAGGAGCTGAGGAGAGATCCCTGTGGAGACTCGAGCTGCTGCTGGCTCGGCTACAAGTCCCTGTGCAGGGGTAAGGCTACCACAACAGTGACTGGCATTCTGTTGACGTTTGACAGCTGAGTTAGTTTTAGACTCTGATTTAAATTTTACTTAAATTTAGTCCTCCTTACATCAGAGATTTTCGTGTATGTTATGATCTAGCCAGATCACTAAGATCCTCCACTGCTTTACTTTTAAATGTTCCTCATGTGTCCCATAAAAGTACCAGTGAGAGTGCCGTCTGTTTTAATGCCCCAAAACAGTGGGACTCACTGCCTCTTGATAGCAGAATGGCAAGCTCTCCTTGTATTTTGAAAAGGGAATTAAAAAGACCTATGATTTTGATCTGGCTTTTGATTTCAAGTAATATCACAGCCGTTCTTCTTCCTGAATGTGATACCTCAAGAATGCCTTGAGGGAATTTCTTCAAATGTGGCACTCATGGATGAACTGATTATTTGCTGGTCAAAGGTCACTAGGACCTCGCAAAGCATGTTTTTGGCCAAAACTCAAGAATCCATTCGCTAATTATGACAAACAAATATCTTATTAAATAAATTGATGTTCTGCAAAAACACTGTTCTTGCCATTATTCAACGTCATAACTCAGGAACAGAAGGGGAGACATGTTTGGATACTGAATTGGTGACACTAATCTTGGGTGCCCACCTGGAAACTGTGCGATTCTAGATCTTCTGTGCTGCGGGGTTGAAGATGTGTTTGAAGCATCCATGTTTTAGAATTTGTAGCCTTTAATTTATTGATTTTCAATGTTTTATTGTTATAATGTTCTAGTCTTGCAAAACTTGATTTATTGTCTTCATTCTTTATTTTTTTTTGTGAGGCAGTTTAGGCTGCGTGTTTATATGAAAGGTGCTACATAAATAAAGTTCAGTTAATTGGGGCAACTCTGTCTGATTATCCTGTTATGGAGCTTTGTGTCATGCTTTGCCTCTCCTTTGCTTTCTGTGCCAGTGAACTGTGGGACGCCAGATGTGGACTACAATGGAGTGGTGTATGGTAACGACTGGTGGGTGGGCTCTGTGGTGCGGTACACGTGCCGCTCTGGCTTCATGCTGGTGGGAAGCCCAACCAGAACATGCCAGCCTAATGGCCTCTGGACCCCGAAACCTACCTGCCTCAGTGAGTCAACACTGACATGAAGATTTTACAATCCCTTAGAAACGTTTTAGCTCATCATGTGATTTCTCTCTACCTGTCTTCAGGAATGTGTCAGCGGGGACGCATTGAAGTCAGTGAGAGGGAACTTAATGGGACGTGTAACTCCACCTGCGCATACAAGAGCTACTTTGGCCCACCCAAACAAGGCTGCACTCGGATAGACAACTGTAAGAAGAAGGAGACTGGCTGGAAGCGGTTCTTTGCACAGTGTGTCCCTTGCATTTGTGACTGCGCTTTATCATGTGGTGAGTAGCTTTACTGCCACACTGTCAAGAATAAATAATGTAATGTGAGCATGTTGCAATGTTGTCTCAGTGTAAACACACTTGAATGTGGTTAATTATTGCTTTAAAGCTGAATTTGCAGCCTTTCTTTGAGGACGCCAATGCAAAGAACACTTCTGTTCTTTTTATTTTTAGCATCTACAGGATAAACTATGGAGAAAACACTATGTTGACTGTACAGTGAGACATCAGATGAAGACGAAATACACAGACAGCTTGCACGCCGCAGAGTCATGCTATGTTTTCGCTGCTTCATCCCATTGTGTGGACAAATCAGCCGACCGAAATCTGGATGTTTTAAGACATTAATGTAATCTCTCTGGCACAGCACACTAAAGCCAACAATTTCTCCTTGGATTTTATATACATATATAAGATTTTACACTATGACAAGAAGATTTCAGTGCCTCAGGTTCAAATCCTTCTGTGAGTCAGTGGTGAATTATAAGCAAAGCTTAGTCAATCTGTGTGATGTAGGGTGGTGAAAGGGTCAGCGAAGGAAAGTGAAGTGAATTTTAAAACAGTCTCAGAGGCCGTGTCAGACTTGGGTCAAATAATTATTTAAAATACTTGTAATGAGGAGTTTACTCTAAGTGCCAGGTGGTGAGGTCTGTTTCTTGATAAGATGCTCAATTTGGGTAGGGAAATTACAGGTTTCGGTACGTCAGACAGCATTCTCCAGTTGGTTAAATTAAAATGACCAAATGACCATTTGTGTATTAATTACTCACCATGTTTTATACTGAGTTCAAGAGGGAAACTTTGTTTTTTCTCACATGCCTCCACAGTGAGTAAAGAATCCTAAAATGGAGGAAATTCTTGATGCATTAAAGTCATAGGGGTCCACGTTTAACAACAAAAAAACATCAATTTACAAACTCCCACACAACTCGTGCAGTACAATCCAAGTCTTATTTATGTAGCTGTATGCTCAGTACTTCCCAAACACATGCATTTTTACTTTAACTTCACTATTTAAAACACTTAAGCATAAACAGCACATGCGCAAGACAGCGTTTGGGAAGTACTGAGCATACGACTGGATAAATGAGACTTGGATTATACTGTAGGTGTTTTTGTGAGAGTCTGTAAACAGATGTTTTGATATAGTTTTGCTGTTATTAAACACGGCCCCCTTTAACTCCAATTTGGCATGAATTTTCCCAGTTTTTGGATTCTTCGTTCACCGTGGAGGCATGCGAGAAACACAAAGATTTCTTCATAAATTCAACTCAACACAGGGTGAGCAACTGAAATACAAATGATGATTTGAGGTGTGAATTGTTCCTTTAACTTGGTGCTATAATTTCACGTCACAAATTCCACGTACCAGGAACATTGATGCTCTTTTTAACATGTCTGTTGACGTGTTTGTGTTTCTAAGAGCAAGGAAGAAAGTACGACAAGGAGAAAGGGGAAGTGAAAACACAGGGATTAGCGTCTCCGCCTCGTCGCTCCTCCTCTCAGTCCATCTGTCTTGGAGGGAGATGAAACCTTAATCTTGTTACACAGGGAGGAGCTTTGGCAGGGAGCTCAGGGGTCAGAGTTAACACGAAGAGTGTTGTAGACCTTCTAAGCAAATTACTTTTATGGATAGTAAACACTAGCCTATGCACTTAATAATGTCTCAGTTAGTTGTTATGGAAAACATAGCACAATATATCTATTTTTGTTGTTAAATTAAATCTTTATTTTTATATAGATGGATGGACTGTGACTTAAGCTGTCATGAGATGTTGTATGTTTCTCACTTCCCGGTGTTATTCAACCCCTCTGTACTCAAATGACTTTGATTGTACACTTTCTTGCACGTGACATTTCTTCCTATCTTGTCTATGTGTTCTTCAAAATGGTATTTCTATTCATTTCTGATACCCCTTTCAATTTTTAAAGTAAAAAATGAATCATAACTAACTCAAAGACGACACTGGCCATGCATGCACAAACTGTAAATAAATGTTACATATATTTTTCAAACAGCGCCACTTTGTGATTATTTGCTCACGTTGTTTGATCATTTGCAAGCCAGCTGAGTGGGGAGTCAAAAAACATGGCTGCTTACATTGAAACTATATGACTTAATTTAAGCAATGGATTGCATTTTCTTTCTCTCTTTTTTATATGTTTGTGCAGGATGTTTTTTTTCTCTGAACACCTTCAAAATGGCCTCTCATTGTGACCCATTGCTGTCACCCACCTGCATTCACTTATTCCTCAGGATTCGACACCCCGACTATGCTTATAAAATGTTTTGCTTGACTCCGGTCCACCCTCATGCACCCTGATGAAGACCTTAGGGTTCAAACCGGTCGGTGTTGTAGTGTAAGCAGCCCTGTTTTATGAAAAAAGGCTTTTTAACTTAATTCAAGTGCATTTGTTCCTGCTCCACACGAGTGTCTGAAGTTAATTTGTTCTTTTGTCCAGGTGCACCTGTGTTTATTCTTGAGTCTCATATGATAAAGATAGTCCTGGAGCACACTGCTACCATGTTCTCCAGCTGAGTGGGGTTTGCAAAATTTGATTCACATACTCCTTGCACAACTTTGATAAATGACATTGCTCTTGAAAGCCACTAGATGTCGCTGTTTTCTTTATTCTCTCACGTCAGGCCACAGCATTTACAACACTTGATGATCCAAGGAACAGCCAGCAATTAAAACAGAATAAATTCTCCTCCACATCTGATCCTCAGGAGGTACTGCCAAACACATCTGCTTGTTCGTCACTGTCGGGGCCAGGTGCTGAACCTAAGGATGATGTGCTCATTTGCTTTCGGTCTGTAGCAGCCAATTCCTGCGGAAAAGGAAAGGTTTAGAACAGAAACTCCACAGTTTAGTTCATACATGAACACAGATACTGAAAGGAATACAGTGTTCAGGTGTGCTGCTCAGCTCACATGGTGTACCTGCATTAATAGCAATTGGGAGATAATGTGAAACTGAACCCGTGGCATCCTAAAGGAGGGGTACACAATTGTGCAGAAATAAATTCTTGATGGGAGCAAGACATTGGTGTGACGATACCTGACAACAGATGGGACCATATCGTTGAATGAGTCCACTCTTCTGTGTGCTAGGCATGGCGTATTACCATGTAAGGTTCTCTTAGGGTACATTACACAAATGCCACCAGTGACACTTGCAATAGGTGCAAACAGTCACCTGCTAATCATATTCACATGTTCTGGTCCTGCCCAAAAGTTTTGGAATCAAATATTCAACACACTTGGGACAGTTTTTGGCGTGAACCTTGACCCTGATCCTCTTACGGCCCTGATTGGAGTCCCACCACCTACAGCACCGAACGTCCCATTGACAAAGCAGCATGTTTTGGCTTTCACAACTCTATTAGCTAGGCACCCTCAACTTGTTTAAGTACACACAATAGCTGGCTTAAGGAGATCCTAAACCCCCTTGAACTTGAAAAGAGTAGATTTTCCCTTGGAGACGCTGGTAAATCCTTCGACAAGACCTGGAAGCCCTTTATGGAGTTTTTGAGTAAGGCTACCATTCACTCAGATGATAAGTAGATGAGAAAGTTTTGTAAAAGAAAGAAATACATTCCTGAAATTCAGTTCGGATTTTGGTTTTGGTGTGCCATCCCAAGACTTTCAGTGGCTCCATGCGGTCACCCCTATGGGAAGTATCTGTAGGCACCACTGCTCTGTACCCCCCAAAAAACCAAAGCAGCGCTCTTAAAGCACCACTAAATGATAGTTGCACTGCCTGCTCATGAACGGCAAAAATCTCACCCAATATATTAAAGGCAGAGAGTGACTAATATCACAGCAATGATAAAATTTTAGAATAATCACACCAGAGGACATCCTGAGGCACCAACTACAACTAATTCTCCTGCCTCATTACAGCTCATTAAGTCAGATATGTTGCACTGACACTCTGGGGAGGATACTCACCCACATCCAGCCTGTTGTACCCTCCTGAGGTTTCTGACAGGATCTCCCAGTAAGTCTGCTCGCGTTCGTTTCCAGCTACTCCATTCACACTCTCCAGCAACAGGCCAAACTCTGGGTCCACCTTCACTGTGAACCTGGCCATACACAGAGAGTCAGGACTATTTATCTACAGCAGAAATGGGTCAGCGCAAGCTTAAATATGTATGAGAAACAGCCCAGCCACCTTTAAGAATAAAGGGTGTTATGCAGAGGTATTAGAGGGGATGTCATGGGCGGTCTTACTTGAAGTCCCGCTGTGTTTCCTGCAGTCTCCTCAGAGCACCCAGCAGCACACCTCCTTCGACCACAGAGCTGAAATGGGACTCAGGAGTCATGTTAGACAGGTCATTCTCCACAGACACTCTGATAGGAAGAGTCGCTGGACCTGCACACCATGTTGCATTCAGTTACAGTGACACTTTACATGATGCACACACACAAAAGCGAGTCATTTAAAGTTTTTTGTATTCATATTTTCTTCAATATTCACCTTTGTCTGTGAGAGCTCCTCGTGTCAACATCAAAAGAAAGCCCACAAAGAGGAGAGCAGCCGGTCTCAGTGCCATCCTGTACAATCTTGTCCCCCAGATGCCCACTACTACTTCAGCTCAGTATTTATAGTGTGCCGAACCCTCCTCTGTGAGCCCTCTCCAGTCCTATAGTATCTTTACTCCTGCAGTCACTTTGCAAAAACATGTTTGTGGAGTTAAATACTCATAGTGACAGCCAGAACACCAACGAGTGTTTGCTCTCATCTCACACATGTGCCAATCAGTCACTGTTAATGTGTGCTATATGAATAGAGAACCACAATTATCTCATGGTCATTTATTTGGTTAATGATCTACCTTATGGTTGTGTTCTCTCACAGCGTATGAATAAAAATGACTGGTCGTTTTTAGATCATTTATGTAGGCAAACTTATCCTACAGAGAGTGTAAGAAAGGTCATCTCTCCTTCCTCGAGGAAAATATTACATTACGCAATCAGGATTTGGCCTTTTACGTAGAAGTGGATTTAAATAGCACCCTGTGTGTCCCTATAGCAGTCCTATCAGTCAAGACTGAAAGTGGCCGTGCAGCACATTTACTGGAAACTAAAAACAAAGCATCCATCTTTATTTTGGACACCGACATGTCTTCAAGTTATAGGAAAAATTAGACCAAGATATGTTGCAACACAGTGCAAACCTGTGATGATTTACAGGTGAACGCAATGGCAGATCCTCCTACAGGCATTACAGGCAGCCGCCTATAGGGCACCACCCAGTGTATGTGTATGTGGACGGAATTAAAGTAAGAGAAAAAGAACAGGGCTCAGTAAAAAAAAAAAAAAGGAAGAAGACTAAATTTGTACATACTATTCCTTTGTTATGTATTAATATGTATATGTTAGCTATGTTATGTATTTGTGATGTGTTGTCATTAGGGAGTGTTCTTTACTTATGAGGGAGGGGGTGGTGCAAAAATAAAAAAATAAAATATTTTTTTCGAGCACTGAAGAGGGACTTATGTTTTTTATTGTGGCTCAGGAGAAGAGCATGTAAACTTAAAGAGAAGGTGATTTTGAAGGCATGTTTTTGTTCTTTTAAAAATCGGCAAATTTACACCATTTATCATTGCCAGAAACTGTAAAAACAGAAATTATCACTGAATTTTCAAATTTCCTTTGTTTGAAGAGAGATATTCGCATAGCTAACTGTCTTGGATGCAGCCAGGTGTGTCGGAAAGTATTGTTTAAATCTTTGAGACCTTTGACAAATTACCAGGAGGACCAAAACATTAGTGTTACTAATAAATTGTGAAGCTGAGCAAGAGCAGGGTGCAGGATTTTCTCTTCAAAGATTTTAACATTTCCAACAGTCTTTGGACACATCATGTGCAAAGAAAACTTCCAATAGGAAAAAATCCGATTTTAGCTTGAAATAGAGCTCGGTCTCACTCCAAAGTCGTCAAAATCAGAAACCAACAAAAGAAGGTGTCCTTTAATGTCGGCATGATACGCAGCTGGTTGTCATTAGTTTAACAGTCCAACGCAGGTTAGGTGGAGCAGTGGTGGATGCATCCAACAAACCTCCACTTTCACCCGGGAAACAGTTGCTCACGTCCCATAAGATTCTAAGGCCAAACGCAGGTCTTTTTCCCTAAATCCAACCACGTTCGTTTGTTGTTGATGGAAAAAGAAATCATCAGTTTGCGGTGTTGTACCGACATGAGCCCCTTTTTAGCATTGGCAGTATAAAAACAAAATTGGGGAGTGCAGCAAAATGCCGCCTACCTACTTTTGTTCATACAGAATGCGCCTTTGTCAGAGCAATGGGGGGCGTGAGCAAGTAACAAAATGTGTAGCTCAGCGTGTGACGTAAACAGTGACGTGGGAGGGAAGCCGCGGCTGGTCAGTCCTTCTGCGATTCTCTCGTAAGTCGGCCCGTCCTTCACCGTTCCCATCATTTGACGGTTAATGGCCTCTTTGTTTGCGAGGGCAAAGAGGGCGCACAATTCCTTGTCTGCCCAGTTGTTCATCTTTACAGTGTCTGTCAGGTTTGCGTTTCCCTCTTGCTATTAGCTGCACATTCCTGCTATCAGCTGTTTCCTGTTAGTCTACCGCCAGTGGGTCACACATGCAGCATCATCAACAGCTTCTCCCGTGGCGGAAGGGCGCCTCGTTCTTTTTAAACCAAAAAGGTTCCGCCAATATGTCTCCACCTCGGATCAACTCGCCAATCTGGCTTTGTGTGTCTAAACAGTCACAGCTTACCAGCAAAACGGCCCAACATTTGCCGAAAATCTGGCAGTGTAAAAGGGGCTATAGTGTGTTTATTTCGAAAGAGACTGTAAACGTTAAATTTCCTGAGAAAACAGAAGTGTATCTTGAAAGCAGACAATGCATGTAACAGGCAGAACTTGACATAGCGTCAACAACCAACGCACCCAGGGTACCTTGCATGTTGTATGTGGATGTGGAAAGTCCATACCCAAATGTAATTTATGTCGCGAGGTCGGAGTGAGAATGTGTTGCATTTTAAGTTTTGTCAAAAATAGACCATTTGCACCAACCAGCATGCACAACAAGGGTGAAAAAACAAGGTTTCTTTGAGCTCCAGGATTTCGTCTTCAACTTTTAGCTTTCAAACATCAGAGGGTAAGTTATAAAAATCTAATAACTAATTTATGATGGGTCATGCATTTTTCGCCACTCACCCATGGAGGCTCAAGGAAAAATATTTGTACCTTGCAGCCACCCCGCTCTTCTGACAAGTAGAGAACAGTCCCTTAGCCCTTGTTCTTGTTTGTTTGATTCTTCTGTCTTTATTGGGGGAGGGGAGCCTATAGGTCTGGTCTGGGCCTGGGCATACAGTCTCCAATCTTTGCCATCAGTGTGATGGATTCAGGTTTACATGTGTTACACTGTCTTTGTCCAACAGTGTGCTCCTGGCTGATAATAAAACTATAGAGGAGGCACATCAGAGAGGCAGAGACAGAGAGATGGGTTGTTGTGCTGAAATCAGTCATGTGGCGACTGGAGAGCTCGTTTTAATTTGGTCTGATTAAGAGCCAGGTGCGATTGGCTAAAAATGGTTTTGATTTCCTCTCAGGGGTGATGTAAGGCATGTAGGGCCCGCTTGAACGCGAGTAACCCCGGCTGTTTTACCGAAAATAACCCGGGCACTGCAGCATCAGCACCAGGCAGCTGCGCAGGTGCGGCCTTTAAAGAGACAGCGGGGCCTCAAATCTCACCAAAACCTTCCTCATGTTTACACAGACTGTCAACAGCATGTGCACACACAGCGATGGAGCCGAATTGATCTTATGTATCAGTATTTTGTGGCCACATGACACATAAAAAAAAAAAAATCTTATGCATATGCACAGCGGAGCTTCATCCTAATTTCAATGTGTTATTCCCATTCCTCTCATTTCCCCAGAGACAACAGCCTGAAGTAGCCCCAGAATAGAAAATGGAATACTTAAAAGGTTTAAATTGGCATCTGAGGGCTAATTTAATGAAGTAGGCTGTGGCGGTCTGTCTGAACTGAATACATTTAATTAACTGTGAATTAATTCCAACGTTTAGGTCAGTGCTCTGCCATTAAATCACCGTAACAGCCTCAAAATGTCTTTACATGGGGCTTAAAATGTGTTTATGATCAACTACTGCAACAGTGCTTTCACAGAATCTGATTTATCTGAGGCTTATTTCGTTATAAAACACGAGGTCAGGGTGAGGATTAGGAGGATACAATCAAAATCAAAACAATATCTTTTTTTGCCCTCCAGTAGCATCCTGCCAGCAACGCCCTGTATCCCAGACCGGCGTGCCGCGTGCGTAGACCACACAGACGCACTAACCGGTAAGAGGATAACGGTGGCTGCTGCTACATCGAGCTGCTGCTGATGATGCTGATGCTGCTGCTGAAGCATCTGCAGCGCTGTTTGGCTGCTTTTTGTTTCATTCCAGATGTCAGACACTGAAGATTGTCAACATCAACACCAGCGTCGAGGATGTGTGTGAGTATTTCGATGCGACTTCAGAGCGGATGGATTCAATGCAAGGAATAATCCTACCGAGGAACAACATGACAGGCATCCTGCTCCCCTGACGATTCTCTCTGGGATGCAGTCATAGTTTGAGGCCGGACATGATTTTAATCTCAGGAGTTGCTGTAGTGGATGCGGGATGGTGTGCGCCGCACCCCGAGAAGAGATATTGATAAGGAGAACTCAGATCTGTCCTTTGATGCCTCTCATCCGATCCGGATTTTTCCTGGACTGTGGCGCACAGTGAGCATCTCTTGCTTTTTTTTCTGTGGGACTGTTTGGGGACCTTCTGATGTGGAGGGATTGTGCTGTTTTGTCTGAAGGGATCATCTGAGCACTGTTGCTCTCACCCCGAGAGGAGAACCAGGGCTGAGCTGCTCACCTGGTCGTTTCAACACACAATACTAAGTATGTGCAATGCGTGCGTGCGTGTGTGCGTGTGCATGTGCAATGCAACACACAGAATAGGGACTGACTGGTATGTGTCCTCAGAACCATTTATGACTCATCTATACCTTCAAAAAAGTCACCTCTCCCCTCTGCTCTGTCATTTTCCAGCCTTAATAGTGTCTCATGTTTTCATTCCCATCAGTTGTTAACAGGTGCTTTTTGAAGAGCTGGCAGCATCCCTCATCACTGACAAGTCACTGCAGAGCACAGAGTCACACCACGCCACTGCAAAGCTATATAGATACATTAAAAAACCATATATCAGAGACTTTTAATATGGCCGTGTGTGCTCACATGTCCTTGCTTTGGATGCCGCACATGACGGAACGTGGAGGCCTTCAATCTGACTGAGAGGCCATTAAAGCCTGTCAGTGTTTTACTGGGCTTATATGCAGGCTGGTAATGGAAATTCACTAATGGCAGGATGATCAATAGAAGCCATGGCCAATTTCCTTCACTGGCCCTCTTCACAGGAGGAGATTATTATATACAGTAGGTCATGGATAGTAAGCAGTAGCCGGAGAGTACTACAAGGCTTGCATGGCATTGCATGGCAGCAGTGGATGTTTATATACAGTGATTATGTGTTCAAACATGGCATGAGTTTGGATTTTAGTCTTCATTTTAGGTTTGCTTTGCTCTGTATCTCTGTGGAGAGAGGTGGATGTGTTGTTTGCCAGTATTTACCACAGAAACCTTGATTCTGACATGAACAGTGTCACAAAATGCTCTTTTGATGGGGTTAAACATGCCTGAATCACAGCTCTATGGGAGATGACTGGGTGTAAATATCAGAGGTGTGGACTTGAGTCACATGATTTGGACTCGATCAGGCTTGAGTCATAAATTTGATGACTTTAGACTCAAATTGACAGAATCAAAAAGACTTGTAACTTACGGAGGTCATTTTGTCTCATTATTATTTGTGTAACCGGATCGACAGTCCGTGTGTTAATGTGTAATCTGTAAATATAAAACACCTTGTACAGATACAAAAACGATTTGTGAGCTCAAAAAAACATTTTTCAAATGTACAACAGATGTGCAAATATGCAAACAAATTTTAAAAAAAAAGACGTTTACATGCACAGTTAAGTCAAGCTTCGGTTATAGTTGGCCATTTAAATGGACTACTGTCATTGTCTCAGTGTACAAGCTTGGGAGGAGAATTGATTGTATGTCCGACTTCCCTACAATAGGTGGTGATATGCCTCCTTTCAGCTTGTGAGTATCAGACTCTTTTCCATTTGACCCATTATGTCACAGACCAAACATCGACAAACAAGTTAGCTATGATTAGCTGGTGGCAAACTGTTACCATGGTGGAGAACTTTACAGCTTTGTACATTTCGTCCATCCAAAAAATGCATGGTTCTGGATGTAGATTTCAGCATGTTGTTACTGGCTTCTTCTTCTGTTATACATTTTATGCTATTAAACATCTGAGTCAAAGCTAGGGACGGAAACTGTGGAGCATATGCAGAGGGCCTCAGCCAGTTTGGGTCTGACTGACTGTTTACATGCAGGAGGAGTTCAACTCAAAATCACATTATGTGGGTGTGTTAGTCTGACTGTGAGAGATTTGATTTAGTCCAATTTCAGTTGGACTAATATGTTTACATGTATTTTAAAAGTCCAGTTTTAGTCGGACCAACACAATAAATCGATTTTCTTTAATGTCATGTAAACGTACTGACAATGTGTAAAATGAAAATCCACAAGCAAAAAGTGATAAACCATAAGAAGATTTCCACAAATGCTTTTCATTTATTTCTAAATTAAATATATTCACAAATATTTTTTATTTGTGAAATTTATTTGTGTATTTGCAGATCCATTTTATCCATTTTTATCTAAGATGTGCAAAAAGTGTTTTATATTTACAGATTACACATTAACACAGACACTGTGTCTCAAATCACATACTTCCGTCAGTACACTTCCATTTAGTATACTATGTACCCTATGTACTTATTGGCATAGTGCGCAAACCGGAAATGACAGCCGCAAATTAGCTAGTTAGCAAACTAGCATTAGCATTCACGTTATTGTTCGCGGTACCAAATCATTACAGACTGCTAAATTAACCCAATAAACATACTGCTGGCTCATATCCGACAACAGTATAGTGGTGCTTACTGCAAAAAACACATGTAGGCTATTTGTACAATGCAGCGACGTTCACGGTCGCACAGTCCTCGGCCGCCATTTCCGGTTTGAAAAGTGGTCCCTCCCCTTCCGCTACATAGCCAAGATGGCGACCATTGAGGGCAAGAAGTGTCCATAGTTCCACACTCAACTTCTTGACCGTTTTGAGTGCACCATAGGGTACTACGGGCAAGTTAGAGTTAGAGTTATCAATTAACCTAGTCCCCAACCTGCATGTCTTTGGACTGTGGGAGGAGAGAACCGGAGAGAACCCACGCTGACACGGGGAGAACATGCAAACTCCGCACAGAAGGACTCCCACACCCGGGATCGAACCGGCAACCCTCTTGCTGTGAGGCGACAGTGCTAACCACCACACCACCGTGCCGCCCATGAACGCACTTATGCACTCAAAATATTATGTGTACAGAAGTACAGAAGTATGCAATATGAGACACAGCAACAGATTGTTGATCTGTTAACGCGAATACTATTGAGACAAATTGACCTCCATACAACTCGACTTGGATTTTAACACCAATGACTCATCACCTCAATTCATTTCCCCTCATGTCCTGAATCAGCTAGCATTATTGCTATTAGCATACGTTAGCTTAAAAGCTAAGGAAGTTGTTAACAAATTTGTTTTAACAAATAAATGCATGTTTTACGATGTATTCATGATTTTTGTAAATTTAATAATGGCATTACTTTTGGTGAAGAGCACATTATGACTTGTTTTGGACTCAAAAATCAAAGTTTAGGACTTGGGACTTGACTCGAGACCCGGAACTTAGCTGCTTGTGACTCGCACGTCTGGTAAATATGTCACTAGCTGAGCAAAGAGAAGCCTCAGTAATTAATTTCTGACCCAAACAGACATTTTTTATGTGTATCTGTTTGTCACCATGACTTTTTTTTATTCGCTCCAAAATATGTTCAAAGCAGTCTTAAAGTTATTCATAAATAGGCATAAATAGACAACAGTTTCCTAACTATTTAGACAGAATCAGGTGCTTTTGTATATTAGCTGTGTCCTTTTTATCATTCCTAACACTGCTACCCTCAATTACTTTACAATAAAACATATCCCATTAGTTTCTCAGCATTTAAACATGACCATCCATAAACTTTGAACTAATAATTACATGGCTCTTTATTTACAGGCACTAATCTAAAGAAGGCCACCGTATGAGACAAAAAACAGATTTACGTAAATCATGCACATTGTGTTTGATAAATAACTACAGACTACCGGATTCATGTAATAATAATGTGCTCTGATGATGTCACATATCCTGACATCATCAGCTTGCTGATATAAGGGTAATGATTTCAGTTTCAGATTATCGGAAAGCTAATGGATCAGCAGCCACTACATACTTTAAAACACACTTCAGACAGGCCGCCTTGTCTAGAAGCAAATTTATGTGAATCAGCAGTATAAGCTTGCTGCAGGACTGAAACCAGATCCTGACTCCTCACACTCAGAATCTCATTCCCCTCAACCAGCCAGTCCATAAAATAAAGCTTAATCAGATCATACCCAGCACCTAGTTTTAACATGATGTGTGGAGTCATCCTAAAATCATTCCTACAGCAAACCTTTGTGTCCACACGCCTGCTGAGGTAACAGCTTTCTATCAGTCAGTCAACAAACTGAGAAAACAAAACCAGTGAAAGGTTTGTCTTAATGCCCAATTATTTACCTTTTCTGGTAAAAATGAATCTGATGTTCTGTATGAAAATGTAGGGATATGAAGGTGCTTTATTGAAGCAGGTGAGTGGAGTTAAGCTTGAAATCAGTTGTAAACACTGACATGTCTGTCTTCCTTTGCAGCCTTTCAGCATGGCTGAGAGGACACTGGATCCGGGCTCGGTCAGCATCCCCATGGAGGAGACCAAACTCCACAGCGGAGCACCCCCAGAGGCGCCACTCCTCACCCACTTGAAGAAGGTGGAGAACCACATCACTGAGGCTCAGCGCTTCTCCCACCTCCCACGCCGCTCCGCTGTGGACCTGGAGTTCAATGAGCTGTCGTACACCATCCGCGAGGGTCCCTGGTGGAGGAGGAGAGGTACTGCAAAGCTAATTTCACATAGTAACCATGATGGATGAGCAGGCAAGCACACCACCCATGATGATCAATATCTGGAGTGCAGACATTTCAAGGGAGGCATAAAAACAGCCTGTGTGACATTTAAGAAAAATATTTTCTCCTCAGCGTCAGTCAGTCTCTCTTGCTTTTCTCTTTTGTTCTGACACATGTAGCCCAGCCCTGCCCTCACACACACACACACACACACACACACTTGCAGACTTCCTCCATGTTGTAGCAGCCAGTGTGCTGGTAAGCTTTGCTGCGCTCAGCAGAGTTTAGACATAGTAAATAATTTACACTCACAGGTTGGCACACTGCTTGCCTCTCTTTTCCCTGTGTTGTCTGACGATAGACGGTGGCAGTGAGTCAGGCCTGTGATTGATCTGCTCATGAACTATTAACAGCATTTCAACCGACCACCTTTATTAATTATAAGCGTCCAACCTTTGGTCATCTCTGCTTGTCAACTAAACCACCCTCTGTAAACTGTTATATTTAGCTGCTCTTGTTACAGTGTGTATATTTAGCTGGGTGGGGACAGGGACTTCAGAGAGTCCTCTCTTCACATTCTCTGTATTGTATCCTTAGGGGTGACCCTACATGATGCATTGCAAGTCGTCTTGTGTTATTTTCAGTCTTGTGTAATATTGATGTGCATTATAAAAGCCTGGCAGAGGAGTGTTTGTTGTTGCTTGTGTTACCTGGATGTATGGAAAGTTTTCACGAGGAGGATCACGGCTAGAAAGCTTTTGATGCACATGTTTTTCCTCCAGTGGTCTCATCAAAACCAACCTGTGGTTTCTGCTTTTGTTTGTGTTGTCTCTTCAGGGTGCCTGCTTCAGCTCATCAGGCTGATGATGTGTGAACAGGAAGTGTCTCAGCTTTTACTAATTAAGCGGTGCCTTTCATAGAGAGGCTCGCCTGCCATTTTACTCTCTTTCCAGTCTGACTGAACCTCCCATCTAGCTCCTTTAAGTCCCTCTCTGCTCCTCCAATTACCCCTGCCACTCTCACCAAATAACATAAGCAGTGTGTTGCTTATATTTGACATATGCTGTAGTTCATTCTGAGGGGCTTGTCGGCGTTTGTGTCTCATTTGACAAAGTAAGCTCGGAGGTGATTCTCTGCAGTGCCTGTCTGCCTGATCAAAGCTGTAAAGCAGGTGTAATCGCACAGAGCTTAAGGCTGTTGTTCTGCGGTGTGCTTTAGTAGTCAGTGATTATTTCCCCTTGGAAAAAACACATCATTTTATGTTGCTTCTGCTGAATTATATGCAATCATACAGCTGATAGAGGAAAAAAGGATGACGTAAACAATGAGCCTTGAACCCGTGATGTCATTAGTAATTAAATGTGTTTAAGCCTTTGAGTCACTAACACGCTACTTATGAGTCATACCTTAAAATATCTGCGGCAAACGGGAAGAGAGTACCAAGAGGAAGATATTGTAAATGCAATAAATGTAAAAAAAACTTTGTTTTATTGTAAAAGGGCTAAGGAGGGTCAGGTGATGTATGAGCTTCCCGTCGTCTCCATTTGTTAATGCAGGTTCTTTCTGGCAAGGGCAGCCATTTATCCCTGTTAGGATGAAGCTGCCGTGACCTGCTTTCATGTTGAGGTATTCTCCTAACTGGTGAAACACTAGCCCAACCACAAACAGTGGCGCCACTAAGGGGTGGCCAGTGGGGGCCAGGGCCACTCTGATGCAATTTGCTAGGGACACAAACCTTTAAAAAATAATTCTGAGAAATAGTCCCTCCAAACTGTCATGACAAAACCTCCTGGCCAATGCATTCTCATCCCAACACGTCAAATATCACTGCTTGGTCAGTGGACTTTCACGTCTACATAGAACGTGCTTAGTATCCTCTTAGGCATCTGTTGCTGATGTTCCGGGACACTGTGTCAATTTATGCTTGTTACATGCATTATGCTTTTTAAAACACACTTTGTTTTCACAAGAAATGTATGTAAATGTAATTTATTTTGACCAAACCAGAGTTGGTGATTGTTGGAACACTGAACTAACTAGATGACTAACAAGAAAAACTAAAATGGTTTTGGTGAGATTTATTTTTTTTCCGTTGTGTTTGAATTAAGTATCTTTTGTGATGTTTTAACAAGGCAATTAAGATAACGTTAGTCTTACTTTGGTGAAAGAAAGCATTTTTAAATGGTGTACGGTTGTATTCTTATGTTAAATTAAAAAATTGAGTGGAAGAATAGGCCAAAATGGCCCTTTCAAACTAGTGAGTTACACACTCAATGTCATTTCAACAACCGACGTGTGTTGTCATCAAAGCAACTAACAGAAATCGCCATTTTCTTTTGTTGTACTCACATGACCATAGCAAATAGTTCGAGGTCCTTTCTACTCTATTTATTTCAATGCGTCCTTGTCTGTGGACTTTCACGTCTACATGTGATACACGAGCCTGCTCTCACTCCGAAGTCGTCGAAATCTGGCGCTTGGGCAGTGACTTGTGTAGAAGCGAAAATCGGTGCCTGGAAGTGGGCCAGATGGCTCCCGACCTCGTCTTCTACTTCTCTTCAAGATCGTCCTCTGAATTGATTTAGTATCTTAGGTTCAGTTGGCTGACACTTAGAGAAACACTGGAGTCAAATGGAATCTGGTACAATCGAGTTTAATGTGTTCACAAGCAACACAACACATACAACTCATGAGTCAGGCTCCGGAGCAAGACTGAAGTTTCACTTTCTGCGCTCTCCCTTTTATGCTGGTGAAGATTTGAGAGAATCTCCACCCTTTTCCTTTAGTCCTTCCTACCTGCATTCGAACCTATTGATGGCAGGTCTTTTCCTTTTTAGCCCTTTTTCATCTGGTCAAAATCTATTGGTGGCAGGCCCCTTGGGCCCTTGTCCAAACATGACCTAAAGGTGTAATCCCTGGGCCTGGAAATCCCCAAATTCTCCCACCATTATGTTCGAGCCTGGTTTCACTTTATTTTTTAAAAACATATGAAGCCCGGGGACTTTCTCTATACAATCCTCTGTGCTTTCATGCAATGTGAACTCTTAGAGTGTGTGTCATGCAATACAAACGTTAGAGTGTGTGTGCGTTATTATTAAACAGTACATGGTGTGGTATATGTGTGCTCTTCAATGTGAATACATAACCTTGTGTTATGAATACATAGACTTGTACAACAGCGTTTTATTACACATAGATGCATAACAACCAGTTTTATAGGAACTTATACATAAAGCATGGTTATATAACCTTTACTCTTAATCAACTTATGCAGTATAACACCTTTACCTGATTAAAGATTAAATCTTACACTACACTTGCAGCTTTACAAACCAACGAAAAAGGCGTCCTTAAATGTCGGCATGATACGCCACCGTTTGCCGTTATACATAATGGTGCCTGGCGGCATCAGGGGGAAACGTGGCGGGACATGGACGAAAGTTAAAGCGGCGAAAGTCCAAGTGGGGCGGTGAGGTGAGTCCAACAAACACCTGATTTTGACCTGAGACCGGACTTTCACCCAAGAGAGCTGTGTTTGCATCCCGTAAGATTCCAAAGCCAAAACCTGTTCTTTTTTCCTAAACCTAACCATGTGTGTTTGTTGTTGAAGGGAAAAAACGTAAATTTGCGGTGTTGTATCGACCTGGTGCATTTATTTTGAAAGACACTGTATGTAAACGTTAAATTACTGTGAAAATGGAAGTGTATTTTGAAAGAAGAGAACTGACTGAGAGTGTCAACAACCAACGCACCCAGGGTACCTTGGACGTCGTATGTGGACGTGGAAAGTCCATGATCGAATGTCAATATGTGACATGGTCGGAGTGAGAATGTGTTGGATACATATGTGCAAGGTATCCTCCTGTATCTGTTGTTGACATTCAGGGATGCTGTGTCAATTTATGCTTGTTACATGCATTAAGCCTTTTAAAACTACACTTCCACTTTCACATGCAGCTCATTAGTTGCTAATAGTCTTTTTCAAAATAAACTTACAATTTTGGTAAAACACCTTGTATTTCCTTGTGCAACAACAGCACAAGGTTAGGTTTAGGGAACAAATGCAAATGGTAGTCTGTGGTTTGTTTTACCCATCCGCCTCTCCTCCCACTCACTCTATAGGGACTTTCCAGCTCCTTATATTACGTTGTTACCAGCAGAGTTTCTAATTGATGCTGCCAGATGCATTATAAATTGACACATCTTTCATAGAGGTTTGATACTCTGCCGGGTCGTGTTAGAAACCAAAGCTGCCCAGCAGCATATACCGCCACAAAAGGTGCCTTTTTGCATTGGTGTCTGATGCCGAAATCACTGACAAAGCGGTGGTATTTGACAACTTGTGAATGAGAACGAGCTGCCCTGGCTCATGGACTAATTTGAAGAACAATGAACTGCCTAACATGTATATACAGATACACATTAAAACAAGATTGTTGTGTAACTCAAAATGTCGACGGTACCAGTATTGGTCAATGCACTTCAGATAATTAGTAAACCAAAGTAAGAAAAGAAAAAAGAAATGCTATTTCTTAACTCTCATATTGACATTTTTCAACTAGCTTATATACTACAACAATACAATAGTGAAATTCATTTATGACTTTTGGTTTTGATGTTTTCAGTGGTTTCATCTGGTCACCCCTAGGAAAAATCTCTGGGGGCACAGCTGGCTACAAAAGGGGAAGGACAGGTCGAGGGAGGGGGAGCAGGAAAATGTTTTCGTGCTTCTAGGTGATTTCATCTCTGCATTTTATTAACTGCCATCACGTCTCTCCACATAAACATTTGTCAGGATGAAAAGAAGTATGGTCATTACAGGAAAAAAACATATTTTACTCAACATGCGTGGTGCTGCTCGGATCATGCTCCTTTTAAAATGCATCACCATGCAGACGATAATTCAAATTTATGACTGTGATGCAAAGTAATTCATAGTGCTTCACCATCAACATTTTGTCACTGTCTTGCAGAATGGTTATGAACATGTATGATGATTAGGTTTGATCGAGTTTTTTTTTTTTTTTTTTTTTTTTTTTTTTAAAAGCAGTCTTGTAATTGTTTATTTATTATGTTGTAGACCAGATGGCCAGACAGGGAAGTCAGAATGATACTCCGTGTATTTGTCATATGGAGAATGGTAGCCCTTTCTACAGAGTCTGGGTATACTATCTACTAAATGTCCTGATGGCAGGGTGGTAGATCATTAGCAAATGATCAAGCACATCAGACAGATCTCATTGCTAAGTAATGACTTTATGTTAAACTTTCTGTGTGTGCAATTTCACAGCTTGGACAAATTAATTTAGCTTAAAAGATTTGTTTCTGTCTTTAAATCTGCTTATATTTTGTCATAATTAGTTAAATTTGCTTGAATTGAGCTGATTTATGCAGCCGGATTGTTTTAATTTCAAAATAAGATATGACCAGCCGAGAAGTTTAAAACATTTACAGAATAAATTAGCCTAATATTATTAACAAAATGTGAAGAAGTAACAGTTTTGAAGTCCTGTCAAAAACGTCTTTGTCTTGCGTTGCAGAGATGTTTATTGAACTGAGCATGCCGACCAGCTAGCCCCGGCTCATCCTGTCTTATAATACTAATTGTGCTTCAAGAGGCACTAGTGAGTCACTTTAGTGTGTTTAGTGCTCCAGGGATGACTTTTTTTTTGGTAGACTGACGCAGAAGTTAGCGTCGCCATGGTTTCCTCATTAAAAGCCAGTGGGATTTTTCCATTTTGGATTATTGCAGTAGTAGTAGGCTTGGTGGCAAACAAAAGTTCAAGATACTTACATGTTTTATTCAGCAAGATAATCTCCACAAATGAACACCACTTTTATGATTTCACCAAAAGTAAAAAGCTAACATATCGCTATAAATGATCTACACCACGGTTGCATGACTTAACATCACCAGCACAGCAAGGCTGTAATGGTGTTCAGTGTGATGGAGCTTTGTCGTGTCAGTAAGCATTTATTATCAACCGCCTTTTAAGACACCTAAAAGCTTCACAGTTCATGAGTGGGGTATTTACTGAAGTATTTTTTTTGTTTAAGAGAAAACATGAAAGTCTCTTAAGCTTGTGTTAACGACAGACCTGATTTCAGGCATCTAACCAAAAACCCACTGACTTTAAAACAAGGGAACGAGGAGTCCTAAAATGCTAATTCCTTTAGGTGTTAGGACTCACTCCTGCCCCTCTTTTTTAGTTTCTGATGTTTTGAAATACCCCTGATCTCTCCTGACAAGCTTACTTTTTATGTCTTTGACTCATAAGTAACTGGAAAAGCCTTTTGGGTACATCTTGCTTTCTAAGTGCCATTTCAGCCAAGCTAAGCAAGCTAGGCTCAGCTACCTTGCAGGCTTAGGCAACCATTTGTCTTAACTCTGCGATCATAAATTGTCTCAATCCAGGCATTGGTCAAAGCCAAAATATGTCCAGAGCCAGATAATCTGAGGTCCGAAACTAAAAATCCGAAATCCATAGTTTTTAGGCAAAGACTGTCACAAAACAGAGAGGAACAAGCAGGACACACAATGCAACTATGACAGCACAAACTGTACCAAAAAAAGATTCAAATGGCATCGATATATAGTTTTGATATGGCTGTTTTCTTGCTACTATGGTTGGGCTAAAACTGAACTAAACAAGCCATAATGTAAACTACAGGCTGAGGCCGTAACGGTTATAGGATAACAGTGTTCTTCTTACTGGCACTCAGAGTCTCAGCAGTTTGCTTAAATTGTGCGTATTCTTGCCAAGCTGTTAGCTGTTGGCCTGTAGGTGAGATGTTGCCCCCATTGAGTTTTAATGTGGCCAGGCCTTACATACAACTGCGTTTGTGAAAAGCTGTATAAAGCCTTTGTGGCTGCAGAGGGAGCTGTGTGAAGTCTGATAAACTACCTCAAGTGATGTCATTTGAGTCAGTGTCAGTTGCTCCCATAGAAATAAGATGAGAGTAGATCGGGCATTCCCATTCAAATTAACAAAGCAGTCTTTTTCAAAATAACTACGTCGGTAAAACATCTCGTCTTTACATTTATTTCCTTGTGCAACAAAAGTATGCGGTTAGGGTTAGAAAAATCCCATCGTAGTTTGGCTCAACATTCACTTGGGAAGCAAAAAGCAGCCTCCTGAGTGGACCTATCCACCTCCCCTCCTGCCCACCCTTTAGGGACCCTTCATGTTATGTTGTTAAAGGCTGTGAATCATACCTCTGTGAAAGGCGCAACAAACCCAAAACTCTGATCAAACTGTTGGTGGTCGAGTTGCATTGTGGGTTATGTAGGCACCAGCTAAAATGTGCTCATGACAGTATTTTGTTTGAAAAAAAGTTGTTATTTTGATGAGGTGAAATGCTTTTTTAAATCCAACAGTGTGACCACAGTGTCTCGCTGTGTATGTTTGCAAGTGTTAATTAACCAAGATGTGCAAATGTCTAACAGGTATTCATCTTCTTATTGCACCCCAGTAGATGTGACCAAAGAACCTTATTCACCAGACTTCATGCAGACAACTCATTTAAGAATAGAGAATAGTAGAGACTTTATGTAACATTGTAATAAAGAATCAAACATTGATAAAGTGTGAGGGGAAAGAACTACTTTCCATCAGATCACCCTGGTTCATGGAAATACTACCAGTACATTCCTGGTGTGGGAATTGACTTGTCATTTGTGCCAGTTTGAGGCATGTGACAAACCCTCCTCAACCGTGACTCATAATAATTTGTCTAACAATTACTTTGAGATTTCCTGAGATCACACTCAGCAGATACTGTCACATGTTGTTAAATCGACGTGTCTTTGACGATGAGGTGCACTATATACTGTGTGGCTCTCATGGGACTGTGGGTGATCAGGATGTGCCTGCAGCCTCACACAGATAACATCATTATTATGCGCGACCTACAGCACCGGGTTAGATCATCAGTATGCACCACATGCCAGAGCAGGGCTGCTTCACTGACAGCAGGCTGCTCTGCTGTCTGAGTGGAGGCTGTCTGATGTAATAACACTGCGTGGGAGGAGGGGGCACTGCCATTAGGCTGCTTTACTCATACAGCAAGGGTTTAAGGGGTCTGGCAGCTCTGCTGAGACCCTAATTACACAGCTCGAGACAGGAAGACGCATCTCTGAGGACAATGGTGAAATGGGTGAGGCGAGGGAGACGGGTGACAACATGGCAGGATACTTAGAGCCTTTTTTTTAAACCTCCCATATCTGTCAGATCTAAAACTGTTTTGTTCTTTTATCATAATGCTGAAGCCATCTTCAGAAGAAGGCCATACCACTTCAGCCATTTTTAAAACCGCAGCAGGGAAGTAATGCCTGTGGTTTCTCTGTTGGTGCCGCTGAGGGAGCCATGATCTTCAATCTTTCTGTACTCCTTTTTCTTTTCATGTTTTGCTGCAGACCTGCTGCCCAGTCCAGCAGCAGCCTTTATTTTTTATTCTTTACAGCCATCTTCACCATGAATTCTTTCTTTCCCCTAGACCAAGGATCTTCTACATTTTTTAGGCCAAGAACCTGTTAGCTGACAGAGAGACAGAGCAGTGACCCCCTATGACATATGTTGTATAAAATTGAGTTGCATATAAAAATGGGCCTAAGTGCAATGTGTAAAGTACCCTTTTATGGTGTGTACATCATGTTTGTTTCTGAGGTGGACGGTTTTTGAGAGTCTCTTGCTTGAAAAGTTAAAACGATTCTTGTGGCTCACAAGAACGTCTATGCACATCCAATAATACAGCTAATTCGCCGATATGTTTCAGTAGTGTGTCACTGTTTGAACAGTGATTTATGCTAACTAGCTAATATGGTTGCAAAAGGATTCATGGGTAACAGTTAGTCCAGTGGTTCCCAGCTGGTGGGTCGCGGTCCAAAAAGTAGGTCATGGTTCCATTCTGAATGGACTACAAGTGACTCGGGAACATGTCAAGTTTGTAAAAGACACGCTTTATTTTGGAGTACAGTAAATTTCCAGCACAGAGCTTTTATTTTGAAGTGCCATTTTATGTTATAGAGTTAGCGACTAGCGGACAGCTACTTGACAGAGACAGCAAACTAGCCCTACGACATGGCCAAATGCAAGTATGATGCATAATGTATTAAACTGTGTGGACCTTGAACAAACTACTAAGGAGAAATCTGGATCCCGTGGCTGGACCAGTTGGGAATCACTGAGTTAGTCTGTCATCAGTCCTGTAAATTATCATTATTGTTATTTATAGTTTAACCTGGGAACCAAGTTTTCTGGTTTCAAACCCATTTAGTTTTGGTCGAAATTAGGTGCAGGAAGTGGAGCAGAATTCATTCAATGTAGAAAATGAGTAATAGGAGTTTTATAAAGTTTTTTTAAAAGTGAGCAGACCAAGCAGACGGACCATGATTAAAATGACAACTGGGTGAAAGCAAACTGAATACAGAATGTAAAATAATTTTGTGTCGGCAGTTGTTAATCTTGTTAAGAACAAACATCAGCCTCTGTCTTGCTTTCATACCTGGCTTTCTCTGCAATTAATTTCCCACATGAATACACTAAAAAAACAATGGAGGAGCAGGATATCAACTAAAAATGTAATTTCATATCTCAATAGTTGACCTGTACTCCCCTGTAATGTGTGAGGGTGGAACAACATAAATTCAGTAACATGTTTTAAACTTACCTTGTTGTTTTGTGAAAAAAGCACCTCAAAAAGCTCACTTTTCTACAATTGCTTAGATTTTTCATTATATATTTTCGACCTCTTTGGAGTAAAGTGTCTGATATTGATAATTTCAGACCAATTACAGCACTATAAACCACACATTTTTCCCCTCTTTGTCAGGTTACAAAGCCCTCCTCAAGTGTCTGTCAGGAAGATTCAATAGCAGAGAGCTGATTGGCATCATGGGGCCGTCTGGAGCCGGGAAATCCACTCTGATGAATATTCTGGCGGGGTACAGGTGAGATGTGGAAGATCAGACTTTTGATTTAATGTAGTGCTTAGAAAATGGCTCCAATGTCATTTTGATTTCTGTTGGGAAACAGGGAGACGGGCATGAAGGGCCAGATCATGGTGAACGGTCGACCGAGGGACCTGAGGACCTTCAGGAAGATGTCCTGCTACATCATGCAGGATGACATGCTGTTGCCACATCTCACTGCGAGGGAGGCCATGATGGTGAGGTTGTCTTAAAAAACAATATCAATTTGCAACACTTTATTAAATCCTTATGTTCAATAATAAGGTGCTGGCTTGTGTCTGTCTTTCAGGTTTCTGCCAATCTGAAACTGAATGAGAGCATGCAGGTCAAAACAGAGCTTGTAAGTCTGAATATACTGATTGCATTATGATTACATGTACAGAATTGTTTTGCTTGCCACATCTCCCTCACTCCCTGGAGTGCTCTCTGTAAGACATTTTTTTTTACTTGAATCCTTTCCCTGAGTTTATTTTTTTATCTGGAGCATCCACTTCAGAAAGCTTCATTGGATGCTTCTTGGGATTTTCCACCATAGCTCCTGCCATACTCCTGGCTGCTGCTCCATCGCTATGTTTTCTCCCCCATTCCTACCCGCTTTAGCTCTGGCTGGTCAATACATTCTCATTCCGATCCTGTCACAAATCAACGTTTGGTCAGGGACTTTCAACGTCCACATATGACATGAAAGGTACCTTGGGTGCATTGGTTGTTGATGTTGTGGGACACCGTGTCAAGTTCTGCCTGTGACATGCATTGTCTTCTTTCAAAATAACAATGTTTGCATGCAGTCTCTTTCAAAATAAACGCACTACCGCAAATTGAGATTTTTTTCCTTCAACAACAAACGCACATGGTTGGGTTTGGGCAACAAAAACCTGGGTTAGGTTTAGGAATAAAGAACAAGCCTCCCGCCCGCCTTAATTGGACTCTCTCAGCCTTAACTTTCGTCCTTGTCCCTCCGTGTTTCCCCCTGACGCTGCCAGGTGCTGTTAAACTATAACAGCAACTGGCCGCGTATCATGCCAACGTTAAAGGATGCCTTTTTGTTGGTTTTTGTCGCCACAAGTCACTGCCCATGCGCTGGATTTCGACAACTTGGGAGTGAGACCGGGCTCGGCTGGTTGATGTGAAATGCATCGATTCTGGCGTGCCAGTTCAGGAGAGCCACCACAGACACCAAACCATGGACTTATATAGAGACCTGGATATAGGAACAGCTCAAGTCTCTGAAGCGAATTTGACATGGTGGGCAAACCATTTAATTATAACTTCCAGGTCTATCAAGTGATGCCATGGGGCCCAAAAAAGACTTTTCCCATAGACTTACATTTAGCCATTTATGTCTACATTTGGGAGCAGATCCTCATCTATGGCTACAATGTCCTTTCCTTCTTTAATAGTTTCCTTGTCCTTGTTCCTCACGAATGGTTATGTTGTCAAGTTTGAAATGGTCTATGGAAATATTATAAGATGAGGTCATATATACCATGACATGAAATCTTATCCACACTGCCCGACTGTATTGTCAGTTATGTGCGACAACATGTAACCACATCCGTCTGTGTTTGTGTCTCAGGTGGATGAGATCCTGACTGCTCTGGGTCTTCAGGAGTGTGCTCAGACACGCACCAACTCTCTCTCTGGAGGCCAGTGTAAAAGACTGGCCATCGCCCTCGAGCTGGTCAACAACCCTCCTGTCATGTTCTTTGATGAGCCCACCAGGTGTGGTTTTACACACATAGTTTGAATCTGCTTGAATCCAGATTTAATAGCACTTCTGTTTTTCTGACTCGCCTTGTATCCCATCCCAGTGGTCTGGACAGCGCTTCCTGCTTCCAGGTGGTTTCCCTCATGAAGTCTTTGGCCCAGGGAGGACGGACAATCATATGCACCATTCATCAGCCCAGTGCCAAGCTCTTTGAGATGTTTGATAAGGTAACTTCAGTGCTCATAGTGCTGGGCGCGTCTAGCGTTCCATTAGCTGCGGCTCAGACCAGGGCACAGGTTAGCATGATTCATTTTATCCAGCTGACAAGCAGCGCAGCAGTCGATATTGGGCCTATTGTTTCGTCAGTTGTTCATATATTATTCACAGAGTCAGTGTGTTGGAAATAATGTTGATTACTGTGTACCTGTGTTCCCCCTCCAGCTGTACATCCTCAGTCAGGGTCAGTGTATATACAAGGGCACAGTCCCTTACCTCATCCCTTATCTGAAGAACCTGGGCCTCCACTGCCCAACGTATCACAATCCTGCTGACTTCAGTGAGTCACACAACTCCTCCAGTACAACTGCGTGTGCCTGTGTTTTTCTGTGTCTTTGTTCTGACCAGCTTGTCCTCTCTGTCCCCAGTCATTGAGGTGGCATCAGGGGAGTATGGAGATCTGAATCCAGTGCTGTTTGAGGCAGTCCAGGGTGGACTGTGCTCTGAGGAGGGCAAGAAGAACTCCAGAGACAAAAGTGACTCTTCCTGTCCCTCTCAATGTCACAGTGTGAGTGATAGCAGCCATCCCACCGAGCACTGACACCATATATTTTATATTTACTGACGTCACAGCCTCGCATCACATAATAATGAAAATGCTCACAACATCGAAAATATCCACCTTTAGTTATCTCAAAGAATTGTGCGATAACGGGAAATTGCATCAGATTTCATTGATGGTTTCTGATTCTGATGGCTCATTAAGCAATTTATCTACTCTTTTAAAAGTAAAGGTGATAGTGTTTAAATCTACAAATCCACAGTGTAAAATAAAAAATAACAAGCTACAATAAAACAGTGTTGGTTGCGTCAATTTTGACTAAAAATACTCTAATAACTCTATTTTTAAGGTTCAAATAAGTAATTACTGCCAACCAAAGAAAAAAAGTGAACACCCAGTAAATAGTGGGACATTTTAAGGTAAACTATGGTGGAATTGATGGCTTCCAAGGGCCCTAGGAATGAGTCCTAAAACCTGGAATACAAGTTAGCATTTTAGCACTACTGGTTCCTCCTCTTGAAGTGAATTGGTTTTTGGTTAGATGCCTGAAATAAGGTCTTTGGTTCTCACAAGCTAAAGAGACTTTCATGTTTTGTTCTATACATCAGTAAATACCCCACTCATGAATTTTGAAGCTTTTATGTATCTTAAAAAGGTGGTTGCTAACAAGCCACCAGATGAAACTACGGGGTGTCATCACGCCAAACAAGACTCCGTTTAGTCATTCCACCGCAGTGTAGTTCATTTATAGCCTAGCATTATCTTTTTACTCCTGGCCATTGCATCTACGCTTAAGAAATCATAAAAATTGATGTTTATTTGTGGAGATTGTCTTGTTGAACAAAACATGTAAGTATCATAAATGATTGTTTGCCACAGAGCTTATGTTTAGTAGTCATCTTAAATCCAATGGAAAAATCCCATAGGCTCTTTAAGAGAGAACCAGGGCTACGCTAACTTCAGTGTTGGCCTACAGAAAAACGTTGCATTTAGTGAAGCCTAATCTGCGCAGACAGCTGTTTAAAATCACAGAAATACCCACTGTGTATGTGTGTCTGACTTATTAATCATATATTTATTGGTCTGTGAGCGGCAGATTCCCTCACTCACTCACTACAGTGGGCTGTGAAATTAATCAGTGAATCAATATATATTAACACCATTGATTTCCTTCTGTGGTGCTGATATGAAAACTACTTTGGTTTAGTAAATGTCTGCTGTCAGTCAGCCTGGTGAAGGCAGTTTGGGTGAGCTCTGTCCTCTCAGCCGCTGCTGACAGACGACTGCTTCAGTGGGCAGAGATACTGAATGCAGGTCGGAGTAGGTGTGGATTGAAAACTACTATCTCTGTGGCGATAATAGTGACACTACCAATCACACTGCGTGAGAAAATATGATTCTGTCTGCAACATAACAGACTTCTCCAGTTGCACGACATGAAATAAAAGTGTTGCGCAACAGTTTTTTCTGTTGAAGATGCGTCAATTCTGTCGAGTGACAGTCTTCAAAAGTATTGTGCCTCCAGCCGCATCTTTTAACCATCTTAAAATTTTGTTTTCAACATTTTTAACTAGCACATAACATATCTAAATATAACGGGAAAGCTCAGCTGTTATTGGAACACAAAGTGAAAAGGGGTGGAACTGAGGAAGGGAAAATTGTCAGCTACTGTTTGTAGCCAACACCAGGCAGCGTTTCACCTCGCTATATTTGTGTTTTTTTGACACTGTGTTTGTTATTTTGTAGCTCTTGGATACATGCTGCTCACAGTCTGGCACCTTGTCACCACCTTTTTATAAAGTCCCGAGCTCACCTATGCTGAGGGAACATCTCGAACATAGCAAAATAGAAAGAAAATACAGGCAGAGGGCAGAATGTCTGCAGATAAATAGTCAGGCACACTTCTACTGGGTCAAAAGTGATGATTAAGAGGGATTACTTCATTGTTTTGTTTGTTTTTTCAAGGAAAATCCTGCATAGTATTCCTTAATCAAGCATTAATAATATTTATCAGATAAAACGAGTAAACATTAAAAGACCCATGACTCATTTTTCTATTGCCAAATGTTAACAAAATCCTTAACTCAGTTTATTATCTTGACGTAAGACTGAACACTAGGCCTATATGACAAATAAATCAGATATTTTACTGCATTTAAAAGCTGCAACTGCATTTTAGTTGTAAAAGCTTTGGTTACATTTGATAAACAACCTCTATTTTGATGCTTTTTTTTTACACACTCTTGCACCATATTTAAAGTCAAAGTGCAAACAAAATCCCCAGAGTGAATCAATTTATTTACATTGTGAATTATAAAATGTTCAGCAGACCACCAGGCACCCCATGGCAGCCCAGATTTGAGTATCACTGCCGTAACCCTTTCCTGTCCACATCATCTAAACCGTTCCTTCTCCCCTCCAGCTCATCGATCTGTCTCCTCACCCTCTCTCAGCTTACTCTCACTCCCTCTCTCAGCCTCATGAGCTGCTTTTGATAAGAGCATCAGCTAACTGCTATAACTATAAATGTAAACCACCAAGAGCTCTCTGATATACCATTACTCCTGTATAGTGCAATTTTGCCCCTGTATGCCTTTAAACATCTTATCAGTTTATTGATTTTCTCTGTTGTCCTCTTTGTCTTCTTGTGTAGGCATCAACCAGTAACTCTTACTGGGTGGTGCAAAAGAGGGGAGGCATTTGAAATAAGTTTTTAAGCACAGGGTAAGGAACTTTTATTTGGCTTAGGAGAGGGACATACAACTTTAAATTGTTGTATTTTACATTTATTTGAAATGCCCTTGGAACTCCAAATCCTGCTGGCTGGGTTCATCATGTTTTCTTTAAAAATCACCAAAATTTCATCATTTATCACAGCCAAAAACTTTAAAAACAGAAATTTTTGGATGTTTTAATTCTTGAGGCATCATGTGCGATGAAGGCTTTCATCATCAAAATAATTTTATTCTACATGCGTCATTTAAATTTCGCCAAAACATTAAATATTTGCACTAATCAGATCTTTTAAAAAGTATTAAATTCTACACTCCTGCATGCATGATAATTGTGAAAAACCAAGGCCTTTTTCAACTTTTAACTTTTACCTTTCAAACATCACACATTAAGTTTTTAAAATCTATTAATGCCCGCCGTACAAAGTTACTGATATGGCCACTGATGCATACAGTTTATTTGGAAAGGCAGTCATAACATATATATATTGGTTCAATGGTGTTCATTATGTCTTTAGTTTCTGATAATGACTTAAGTTGTTCTTTTATCTCAGACATGTTAGGATGTTGCATACCTTGACAAACTTCCGCCTTCCTCCTAGCATAATGCTAATGCTAGCTGTGTGCACACTGTAATGTGCACGCTTGTGCTTGTGTGTGTGATGTGTAGGCTTGTTTAATTTTGGGGGTTTCGTGTGTGACTGCCATGCACCTGCAGTCTGCTGAAGTTCACACACAGCTTGTGCAATGATGCAATTTCCATTTTGCTAAAAAGAAATAAGCTGTTTGTTTTGGTGATAACTTTCACTTCTATGCTATTTGCTCATTGCATCAGCTCCAATACCTACATTTGTTGTGAATTAGGGCTAGCAGTTAAAAAAATAAATCTAATTAATTACATTCTCATTTACATTAATTCATCTGAATTAATCGCATATATCAACTGATGCTCTAAAAGTATTAAAAAATATTAATTTTACTGAATTTTGCCAGATGTGTTGTAGTAAAGCTGCTACATTTCATACACAGTAGTCCCCCTGTTCTTTACCACTCAAACTGGTCTACAGTCCACTGCAATCCTATTTGCAAGGGAGTTAGTTAGTCAGTCACAAGTAGACATCAGAGGCTGTGCTAGCTCTGACCTCTGGGTTCGCTGCTAAAAGCTTTGCGTTGAGGTGATATTTCAGGCTCGAAGTTCTTCGATGGTACAAAAATTCTTTACTGCTCCTATCAACAGTTCCATCTGGCTGTTTTTTAAAAATGTAAAGGCTCCATTCACGGGGCAGAGCAGTGTCGTCTCGTCTGCCTCCATCATGTTACAAAGCCACTGTGGTCTTCAATGATGCACCGGGTCAAAGGGCACCACAGGCACCATTAATCAGCCCTAATTTTTTTAATGTGTTATTTATTTCTGTGATTAACTCATTGAAATTAACACATTATTTTGACAACCCTGGTGTGAATATTTAAAAAAAGGTTATCAAGGTGAAGAGGGTGAAGATTAACCAAGTCACACCACAGTCACCCCGCTCCTCTGATAAGTAAAATACAGTCCCTAACCTTCCACTGCCAGTCAAACTATCCGCTATCATTCATCACCTAGAATTTGATACAGACGCAATGTGCACTGGAGCGTGTTTGGAGGTTTAAATTCCTTTAGGGACAAAATGTATATGTACAATGACATTATAACATTATTAGGATAAAGTGAGTGTCTCCTCAGCATCACTCTGGGACAATTTGAATATGTTTTTAACCATAAACTCGAATAATTCTTATGTCCTACATGAAGTAAGATTCACTTGCCCACGAAAAAACATTTTTGTTAAACTAGCAGAGTATTTGTATTCTTCTACTTATACTACTTATTACTACTTAATACTTATACTTAAACTATAGTTTGTCTCCTTTGTTATCTTATATTAATGTGTGTATTACATATCTGATTCCTTGATCTCGCTGTCTTTCTCCACAGGACACAGGAACCCTTGAGAAACACAGCTTTGCCACCAGTACATTCACACAGTTCTGCATCCTCTTTAAAAGAACCTTCGTCATGATATGCAGGGACATGGTAAAATAATTATTCTGTTAACTAATACTGTGAAAGGCATTATTAAAACAGGTTGAACTTGATTGAAAGTATCAGTTGAGGGTATCTGAGCTGTGTTGATGTTTATTATCTGTCTTTTTAAAGGTGCTGACCCACCTCAGGGTGATGTCCCATATTTGCATTGGAGTGCTGATTGGCCTGCTTTATCTCAAAATTGGAAATGATGCCAGCAAGGTTTTCAACAACACTGGCTTCCTCTTTTTCTCCATGTTGTTCCTCATGTTTGCCGCCCTGATGCCCACCGTCCTAACCTGTAAGATGCTAGCGAGGGATCGGAAACATTCATTTGACATGTTGTTTTTGTGGTTGAAGTGGAAAGTCTTTTAACGCTGCTGTTGTTCCACAGTTCCTCTGGAGATGTCCGTGTTTATAAGGGAACATCTCAACTACTGGTACAGCCTGAAGGCCTATTACTTGGCCAAAACCATGGCTGATATACCATTCCAGGTAACGGTCAATGACTGAGCACACAATGGTTTGAACATGAATACAATATATTTCAAATTAACAACGCTCTCCTTTCCAGGTGCTTTGTCCAATCATGTACTGTAGTATAGTGTACTGGATGACTGAGCAGCCTCCAGAAGCGGGTCGCTACCTGCTCTTTATGGCCTTGTCCACATCCACAGCCCTGGTGGCCCAGTCCCTAGGTCTGCTCATAGGGGCTGCATCCACGTCTCTGCAGGTAGGCAAACCTGCACACCTTAAAAGGATAGTTTGGAATTTCTGAAGCAGGGTTGAATGAGGTTCTTACCCATAGTCAGTGCATTACCTACAGAGGATGTTGATCGACACGACCCCAGTTTGGAGAAAAAGACAGAAGTATCTACGTGAAAGCAAAGTGATGTACTGCTGTGGACAGGTCCGCTGCAAACTATGTTTTAGCCCCCCAAAAAATCAATACCATTTTAAGTATAAGCTATATTTAGAATATTTTTACCGTTTACCCTTGCTGTCATGGGGGTCTATGCAGATTGACTGGCTTCTGGAGCCAGCCTCAAGTGGGTGTTCAAAGAACTGCAGTTTCTGGCACTTCCTTTGTGGCTTCATTTATCAGCCCCATAGGCTGCCACTTGGTTTGAGCCAATCTGACAGCATCCAATCAAGCTGGAGGAGGGAACCATGAAGAATCATTATGTTATTGAGTGCCAGTTGAGAAAAAAATGGAACCAAAGTCAGTTTTGTTTGTATACAAAAACTATATTGTGGTAAACAAAAGCAGATTGCAATATGTTAAAGGTGTGGGTTGAAAATTACGAGATCAGGCAATGGGGGGGCTTGAGCAAGTAACAAAACGTGTAGCTCAGCGTGTGACGTAAACAGTGACGTACTCCGAAGGAAGCCGCGGCTAGTCAGTCCTTCGGCGATTCTCTCTTAAGTTGGCCCATCCTTCACTGTTCCCGTCATTTGACGGTTAATGGCCTCTTTGTTTGCGAGGACAAGCAGGGCGCCCAATTCCTTGTCTTCTCAGTTGCTCATCTTTACAGTGTCTTTCAGATTTGTGTTTCCCTATTGCTACTAGCTGCTCATTCCTGCTATCAGCTGTTTCCTGTTAGTCCACCGCCAGTGAGTCGCACTTGCGGCGTCATCAACAGCCCCTCCCGTGGTGGAAGGGTACCTCGTTCTTTTTTAACCAAAAAGGTTCCGCCAATATGTCTACCCTACGAGGTGGATGATTGGCCACCTCGGATCAACTCGCCAATCTGGCTCTGTGTGTCTAAACGCTCGCAGCTTGCCGGCAAAACGGCCCAACATTTGCCAAAAATCTGGTAGTGTAAAAGGGGCTATAGTTAATGAGCTAATGCTAAGCTAACGTTAGTTTGACAGCTGAAGAAGTTTTTAACAAACTTGTTTAAAGAAATAAATGAAAATTTTATAAAGCATTCATGATTTTTGTAGATTTAACTCTTGTTTAGGACTAGAAACTCAAAGTTTAGGACTTGGAATTTGAATGCAAAGATTTGAGACTTACCCATGACTTGCAAAACCATGACTTGGTCCCACCTCTGCCAGTTTGTTGATTTAATACCACTCATTTGTTCCACAGGTGGCAACCTTTGTGGGTCCAGTCACAGCCATACCTGTGCTCCTCTTCTCTGGCTTCTTCGTCAATTTTGACACCATTCCCAAATACCTACAGTGGAGCTCTTATGTTTCCTACGTCAGGTATTGTCAGCTACTTTATGTAGTTTAAGATAGAGACTTGCTAAAATTATTTTGGCCAGGTTCTCGCTGATCTGAAACAATTCTCCTTTTCTCTTCAGGTACGGCTTTGAGGGGGTGATTCTCTCTATCTATGGGATGAACCGGTCGGAGCTGGAGTGTCCGGACCTGTCGTGTAAGTTCCAGAAGCCAGAGGAGGTCCTGCAGCTGTTGGATGTGGAGAATGCAAAGCTCTACGTGGACTTCATGGTGCTGGGGGTGTTCTTCCTGATCCTCAGACTGGCTACGTACCTGGTTCTGCGCTACAAAGTCAAGTCAGAGCGTTAAGACATCCAGAGGCTGATGGATTTGGATGCTTGCACATATCCCAGCAGTGTGAGATAGTAAGCAAACATATAGTCTCTCTTTCTCTGTCTCTTCTTTACATACATGTACAAAGGCATTAACTACGAGTGTGCTGCACCACCAAACTGTACAGTATAATGTTATCTTTTGGGCTTTGTTTTTCAAGAAAAAGGAGAAAGTGTTGTTCTACCCTCTGCCCATTTTTAGTTCTCCTTCACGTCATAGTATTTTTCAGATCACCATTACCTGTCAGAGATATTGTGTATCAGCACTATACATAAACGAAATACCCAACAAAGTAACAGAAAGCATGTGTCTTTAAACTGAGAAATTTGGATTTGTTCTTATTTGGCCGCCACATGAAACATGAGTGAAAGTCTCGGGGTTTATGGGGAGCCATAATAACCATCTTGGTGCAGAAGTGTCCAATAATTTGTAGCTTCTCAATACAATGCCTAAAAAGATAATCCAAGCCACATCAGAAGTCCGTTCATTGGATGTACCAGGAACATGACTTCAAGATGGAAGCCCTCTTATTGCCATCGGGAAATGTCGAAACTTTCAGTGCCGGAAAACGTTTGTGCGGCCTCTCGCTGTCCTGTAGGATCATCTCATCAGGTGTCTTTTACCAAGACGCTGAACATGATGACTTTTCTTTACGGAATACGACCATGACAAACCGACTGCCAGTGGATGGCTCTCCTCGCTTTCCATCTCCAGTGTGAATCCCTTTCGCAGGACCTTCTGCCCATTGACGGTGGCAGAACGTTTAGACATGGATGAAATGTTTGTGAAAATGTCCAGCAGTGTGTCTTATACAAAGACTGATATAGACTCACCCTGCGACCAGCCCTATGATTCCTTACTTGCTCCTTATCTTAATATATCATGTTTGTTTCTGCCATAACTGAGGAAGCATTCGGTGAACTGGGAGCATTATGCGAAAGCAAGCATGACTGCTGTCTCCTTCCTGATGCAGAAGGCTGCCGCACGGACACAAAGGTGTTTTCAGTGAAGTGCAACAGCCTGTTCTACGGTTAAAAAAGTCTAATCGTGTTGTTTTGACACGATTCTTTGAACTGCTTGTTTCCACTCGTTGTATGACTCTTTAGCTGCCTCCTCCCCAAGCTGCAAAAGGAAATAACCTGTTATTTTTCTCCTTCTCTTCTTCTGCTTTGCTGATGTCTGACAGATGTGTGTTGTCCAAAACAATGCTAGATACTTGAAATGCTGGCTGGGCAGTTTTTGTGCCTCTGAACTAGAATGATTTGAGTTTCCTCTGCTTCATTGTTTGCACATACACTTTATGTCAACGAACATGCTGGTTCACAAACACACACGCACACACACATGCACATATGCACTCAGACATATACACGAAAACACACACAAGCAAATACACTCTTGGCGATGTTTAGAAGAGCCTCTCCTTGTTGCAGGGCAATGCAAATATTTTCCAATAGACTTGCTATGAAATATTTCTTACTTAAACTATGCTACTTAGTAATCCTTATTATAATGCATAAAATAATGTGAGTATATAATCAATGATTGTACAGTGAATATGTCATGCTGTAAACAAATGTACATTTGCACTTTTCAATGTATGTTTATTCTTTTTTATTTATTTGTATTTGATTTTATTTTTATATATCTATGTGATGAGTGCTGCTTGAAAGTATAACTGGAAAACAGCAACCGAATGTTGCATGTTCACATTAGGAATGAAATTTATGAAATATTAAATTTCAGAGTAAAGCGTTTTCAAACGTTTTTACTTCCAAATGTATGTATCCTGCCATGTCTGAGGAGCTGCAAGTCCTCTGCTTTCCGCTGAACATTTTTAGAATATCTGGAATCGAGTGCGTCACTGGTGTAGATTTGAAAAAAGTAGAACAAAGAATCAGAAGTGAGAGAAGGTAACACAGGAATGTGTGAAATGTGCTGGGAGGAAGACGGATAATCAACAGTCAACCAAATGCATCATTATGTAGCTAAAGAGACTGGCGATCTCTTTAGGAACAAACTGGATCAGAGAGCAGATCTGCTTCACTGTTCAGTCCTGCACAGACTGGAGGCTGCAGGTGGAGGTTTGGATTCTGTCATTAATAGCAATAGTCAACATTGTGATGTTTAATTGTTATACCTCCCACTGCTGTGGCATCAGTCAGTTCATATGTCTTATATTAAGAGCTTGATTTGAGTCATTTTGTTCCGACTGGTTTTATTATGTGCAATAACCATCCAAAGGTGTTTTAACTCTATGAGACCAGTTTCGTGAAGGGAAAATGTGACGCTGCAATGCGTCTGTTTTTCATCTGTTCATTGTGTTTTTGTTGCTTCTGTTCAGAAACTAATTTGGTGGACGTGTTTACTGGATGGCCCTCTTACGGATTTAATTACAGGGACAGAAACAGAATCAAAATAGTGAAATGTACTGTAGATGGGTGCTGGATAAGCTAAAGCCACTGGGCAGATGTTGCCATCTGAATGCCAGACCCCGTCAAGATAATCGGTTCTCAATGTGTAGCATGGGAGAAATACTGGGTACAGCCAGTTTTACTGCCAACACAGCAGATATGTGTTTTAACCTTCCCCGAATTATATAAAAAGCCATGAGTTGGTAGTAGACCTGCAGGTATGACTTTGTATGATGAAAAAAAAAAGAAACGGCTCCAACCTCGGAACAAAGCAGGGATAATTAGTGTTGAAGTCATTAACCAGTCTGGGAACGTCTTGGCCTGAGGTCGTAAGGCCCGTGATACCAAAGAAGAAAACAAATCATCCTTCCTCTGCTATGAAATGTGAAGCGTGCAGAGTGAGATTATGTCGTCAAATGTTCTCATTAATTTCCTGACCAAAGAGAGAGCTCTGAAAGGACGTCCAGTGGGAACCTCTGAGATTTTCCTCATTTCTTTCTCATGCATAAAATGGCCACGCTCCTGAAGATCTGTTTTCCAGTGTCCCTTTTAGGTCAGAAACGTGATCATTACTGACAGATATGATTTGGCTCCAGTGGAAAATCTGATTCAGTGTAATCATGTGCAAGCAGTATTCTGGAAGTGACTGTGTGGGATGCGGCTGATGAGACTATGTACAAAATCCAAAAGTTTTTTTCACTCTCTTCAACACTTTTTCTTTTAATCGTGTCACCATGTCACCTGTTTGTCATAATAAGCCACCTGACTTCAGTGCACTCTATCATGCATGGTAAACAATAATATGCAGGCTATCCCTACAGAAAGCTACAATTGTCTGATCGAAAGTTAGTCATGGAAAAGAATGCTGTTAAACACAAACTGTTTTTAGTTTTGTTTGGTATCGTTTGTTTATCATTTACAGGTTACACCATGGTTTCTCAACTCAAAAAATGCAAGTTCTGTATACTGAACGCTGTTCCAAGGATTATAATAAAGATCATTTATAACCTTTGCCCTCGCTCAGTGAGATGATTCGCTCCAACATTGACCATGAGGCTTATACATGGCCTCTTTAAACTGTTTTTTTCCCATACTTTCCAGTACAAAAGGGTTGTGAATGCACCTATGTGATCGGGTAGATTTGGAGATGTTTAGACATAACCCCTCTTTATTCACTTGTCATGTAATTGTGACATGAGACACTGATTTTAGATTTAAAGTCACAGTAGAACCATCACAACCATTTCCACAATATCCAGTATTGCCTTGGCCAGTATTTCATGTCATATATTAACACAAAAAGACCTCTTTATTGAAGGCAAATACCTCCAACTGTGGATGGATTACATCTTTTTACCTCAAAATATGTAAAGGAACTGCAAGAAGACACAAAATAACTATAAAATGGGAAAAACAATCACAGAGACACAAAGCAACCACAGGGAGACACAAAATGACTACAAATCAGGGTTGGAAATTAGCACCAGCCAAATGCTGGTAAAATATGCATGTCGCAGCTAAATTTCCTTCCTTCACCAGCCGAAAAAACAATGATAATTCACTGAGTGGCTGGAAGATTTTACTCTCCACCAACAACAGCATCAAGTGGACATAAAAATTAATTTCCAACCCTGCTACAAAGTCACACAAAATGACCAAAAAGGACAAAAAAATAACCTCAGAGACTCACAAAATTACCTCAGAGACCAGACACCTACACAAAGACATAAAACAACCAAAGAGACGCACAAAATGACAACAAGGAGCCACAAAACGACCAAATATGACACAAAAAATTTCCTTAATTAGGCTAGAAATTATCTCAAAGAGACCCAAACAACTACAAACAGACAGAAAACAACCACAAGGAGACACAAAATGGCTGCAGTGACACACAAAAAAGACACAAAATTATTTCAAAGAACACAAAATGACCTCAAAAGACATGGAACAACCACAAAGACACACAAAATCATCAAAAGAAGACACAAAATTACCTTAAAGTGACACAGACACCTTCAGAAAGATACAAAAAAAAATTTGAGACCCAAACAGCCACACAAAGTTACAAAACAACCACAGTGAGACACAAAATTACTACAAAGAGACACAAAATCATCAAAAAAGATACAAAAGCACAAGGGGACATAAGAATTAACTTCCAACTCTGCTTCAAAGTCACACAAAATGACCAAAATGGACAAAAAATGACTACAAGGAGACAGAAATGACCAAAAATGACACAAAAATGATCTTAATAAGACTAAAATTTACCCTAAAGAGACCCGAACAACTACAAAAAGACAGAAATCAACCACAAGGAGACACAATATTACTACAAAGAGACATAAAATCTTCAAAACAGACACAAAATTTCCTCAAATACACACAAAACAACCACAAGATGACACAAATTACCTCAGACAGACCCAAACAACTAAAAAGATACAAAGCAACCACATGGAGACACAAAATCACTACAAAGAGACACGAAACTAACAAAAAGGACACAAAATGATGTCAGTAAGACACACAAAACCACAACAGATGCATAAGAACTAAAAACAGATGCAAAACCACCAGGGTCTTGCTCCCGTGTAGGAGAGGTGGAGTATGCCTTGCATATCTGTGCCCAGGGGCCCATTGTCTCATAATCCACTCATGCCTCTAACTATTAACAGCTGTGTAGTGTAAACTGTATTATTGTGGACAGAATGAGTCAAATGTTAGAAGGAGAAAAAAAGGAAAGCTGGGTGTAAATATCATCAACAACCAGACAGATCAGTCTGACTTCCTCACTTCTTTTTATCTTTTACACATTTTACAGCCCAAAGCAGCCTTTGTCCTGATGATTGCAAGAGCAGTAATTGCGGCCGAACACAAAGCAGCATGAGAAGAGCGATCTAAGTGCTTTCATAAATGTGCATAATGGCGTCATTCAGTGTGGTGAAGCAGTTTAGTTCAGCAGTATATCAATCATAACACGAGAAAGCTGAGAGCTGTTGACAAAAGAAAAGGCACTGAAACTTTAACAGGGATTAGAATTCATTTTCTCAGTCACACTGCTGAATTCTTCGCTCTCACAGGGGCAATATGTGAAGAGGACAGCTAGACTGGATCGGGTTAGGAAACTAGATTTTAGATGTGGGCCTTGAGCTTTGCACTCACGGGGAAAAAATTAAAAATAAATGAGCAAAAATGAAAACATAACATAAAATAGATATTAAATCATCACACCTACTGAACTTACAGCAGTTTCTATGGTTGTTAGTCAGATCCCATGTGATCTAACTAACATCCAAATCTCCATTTAGCTGTGTGTTGAGCCCTAATTAATGCTGTCAATGGAAGTCACGTAGGTGGTTAAACTCTGCATGAAGCTTGTTTGATTAGGTTGTAGACAAGAGGGACCCCTGCTGGCAGGATATGTGCACCGTCCTTCCTCAAAACTATACAGGACAACTTCAGAGTTTTTCATGTCCCATGTCATTATGTGTCAAGCAGTCTCTTTGCAGTGCTATGTTTGAGGATGAATATGTGAAAATGTATTTCAGTTCGACATAATGATGCTGGTGCCTGCTTTGATTTAAGTTTTTTGGATGTGTGCACCTTCTCCTCTTGGTGTTCATGAGTAGCCTACTAGTCTTCAAATGGGCTTTAATTGGTTAAACTCTAATAAGGCCTCAGCACCTCGAGACAGATCGATGCACTCACTGTCCATTCAGGTGGTAATGTAATGCTAATAAGGGTGCTACACACCTGACATTTGGCTAACATTGAATTCAGCAAACTGAGAATAAGAGGGTTGGTGGGAAGTTAGAAGTTGATACATGTACTCATAATACTACTGTTGTTTCAGGTCACTTTTTGCAACTGCTGATGTTGCAGTGCCTCCAACTGAGTATGCTTTGAGAGCAACCAGCCTTTTTGTAAACAGTCTCATACAGTCAGTATGTTAACATTGTACGTGTCTGCAAACCACAAATAGGTTACATTTGCACGTTTCATACGCATCAACTTTATAAGACTTTGTCATCAGGTGGTTGAGGGGATGGTGGATGATGTGACACTTAAGAGAGACAGCTGCCAAGCTTCAAACCACTGTGCGAAACCAACAAACAGCACCACTGGTTGTATTTTGGCAACCCTTTGCAGTGTTTCTACAAGTGATTGTGGCACTGAACCTGGGTGTTTTTCCACTGACAAACTGTGGCGTTTCCCCGTGTGCATTTGAACCACCAAACCTGGGTATTTTTCACCAACCCATCCCTGCTTTTCTAGCGGCTTTTGTGCTACTGAACATGGGTGTTTTAAGTCAAAACATGATCTTTTACTAACCATAACCAAATGGTTTTTGAGAAAAGTAACATTCAAATATCTGTGGTTTGCAGAAATGTACAATGGGACCACTTTTTTTCTGCCGATTGGGTTGGAGTCAGAGTTGGCAGGCCTGATAGTGTTGATAGAGCAACAAAATCACCCATCATGTCTCATCATACGAAATGAGCACACTGCATGCACTGATAGAACTTTCTCCGTGTCCTGAAACAGACATTCACATCCACCTTGTGAAACTGTGTCATAAATGTGGGCTTGCAGTGCTGTGATATTTAGGGAAGTCTTTTGTTTTTTGAAGAACAGTTTTCTCTCCTGAGGTCTTGGCTCATTAAACTGTCTGTTCCTAAGAAGGGGAACTGCTGTGATTGGCTTTATTGAAGCTTACCTTAACTTCACCTGCTGCTGTCAGCAATATTTGAGCACAATCTGATTATTTAATGATTATTTATTTATTTATTAGCCTGCTGATTGTTTTAATTTGCCAGTTTTTATTTATTCTCTAGTTTCTTTATTGTAAAGCACTTTGAGCTACACCCCTTGTATGACAGGCGCTATGTTACGTTTTATTTTTATTTTTTTGAAGTAGTAGTAGTAGCAATATATATTTGTTAGATTTTTATTATAGAAATGGAAAGACAAACAATGGATGTTACCACATAGTCAAC